ATCATTGATTGAAGAGCAACACAAAACGATAAAGAGGAACGAAGGAAAACAAACAAACAAAAAACAACAACCTTTTTTAATGTTGTTATTGAACTAATTGTTGTTGTCGATGTTGTGTAAGTATCAACGGTTGTGGTTGTTGTTTCTGTTGTGTGGCAAGGTATTGACGATGATACTTCTCCAGTTGTTGCTATTGTTAAAGTTGATGCTGTTGTTATTGTTGGGGATGATAACAGTAACGACGACAAAGAAGTATTGGAGGAAGATGGCGATAACAACAATTTTCCTCCTCCTCGGCCTACTTCAGCATGTGCAGCAACACTTGATGTTGTTGCTAGGGACGACGCTGCAGGTGAGGGTGTTCTATTGCCTTCAGCATCAGAGCCAGCAGCCGCCGTAGTGGTTGGAGAGTGTTGTGGTGTTATGACAATTCTTACTTTTCGTCGTCGTCTTTTATTGAAAATATCCCTTTGACTGTGGGCCTCAGGGGAAGCACACAGCTTGGATGGTGACGCCGTTGACGAGCATGCCGCCGTCATTAATGTGGCCGCCGCCGCCGCCGCAGATGCCGTCAACGTTGGTGACTTTTTTAAATTATTATTATCATTGTTCGATTCATTGGCAATTGTTGTTAGATTGTTTGTAGTATTTATTTTTGTTGTTGTTTTAGTTGTTGTACTGTTTTCATTTATTATTAATTGTATGCAAGTTTTGGTGGACGAGGAAGACTGCTAGAAAGTAATTTTTGATTTTTGTTTTGTTTCGCATGTTTTTCAATTTGAAGCAAAAATTTAAGAACAACAACATACACACATTCAAAATAAACCAAAAAAAATAATAGTTTAAAAAAGACAGACACATATAGTAATAAATATAGATATGGAAAGAAGACGAAGAAGAATAAAAAGAAAATAGAAAAAGAAGACAAAAAACAAATTGAAAACGAAAGAAAGATCAAAATTGTTATTTTGTTGTTTTCAAACGTAAAGTAGTTCATTTTTTTTGTTTCGTTTTGTTTATTTTTTGAAAAGAAGAAAACGCCAACAACATAGATAAAAGTAAAATAGAAAGAGAAAGAAAGGAGAGAACACACATGTAGATAGTATAGTAGGAAATAGCTTGTAAGAAATTAAGTAGTTTCAGTTTTTTTTGCATTAATATGTTTTGAAAGAGAGATAGAGAAAAAGTGTTTTGAAAATAGTTTCTTAAAAAAAGGTTCTACTCTACATACATTGGATTCGTTCGGGGTTTGCTAAATAGGAAGGGGATGGAACACAATGTGTTACTATTAGTTGACATCATGACCAAAAAGTAAATTGAAATGAAATGGATTTTGAAATTAAAATATTTGAAATTCGTTGCTACAAAAGATAAGAAATTTCTGGAGAAGGGTAGGCGGTATTCGCGTAAATGACATTGAGGCTTTTTTAGAAACAAAAAAAAAAAAACTAACTATCCTTGATACTCCAAACCTAATTTAAAAAAAATCCACGACAATAAGGTCTTTAAAAATATTTTTTGGTAAAATAATAATAGTCCTTAAAAACGATCTGAAAATATATATTTTCTGAAAATGGTTTGCACAATCTGTAAATAATATAATTTTTTTTATTTTAATTTAGCTTATTTGTCGACAGATGTATACCCTCAGCCTTGTGTTATGATTATTCAAACTGTTCCGAAGCACTTGGCCAATATTGTACAATTCGTGTCGGACGCAAGACTAATAAAAATATTACAACGTGCCAAATTTGGACTATATCGACTACTTCTTGTACTTTATTATGAAATATATTCAAATTTGTGGGAAAATGTGGAAATATGCGTGAGGTAACATATAAAGCGGATCGAAGTATTCCATTTTCAAACTTCATCTGATACAGATAAAAATATTGGTATGTGCAGAAATTGAGGGAAATCGAACATTTATATCCAATTTTATACGAAATCATACATTCCAATAAATTAAATATTCATATCAGATTTCTGGTTAAGAGAAATATTTAGACATAGCAAGTTGTATAGAATCACCGACTTGTTTCGCAAGTTAAGGCAGATATAAGTATTGGAAATTGTGATCCTTTGTGGGTGAGGTACCAGAAGGGGTTGGCAGATATATATCATCTTCACAACATATGTGAAGATGTGTGAAATTTGATGAGAATTGGATGCATTTTTTGAGCCATTTTGTTTTCCAAAATATTGAATCCTATGTGAAGGTGGTACCAGAAGAAATGGTGCGATCTCTACCATTTTCATAATAGACCTTGTATTAATGGAAATATTGAGACGTACCAAGTCTGAATGGAATCGGATGTTAATTTCGTGTTTTATGAGCTTCATAGGTACTCAAAAATTTAAATTTATTTGAATAGAACCGAATGCTTATTTTAGATTTTATGATCCTCTTGGTTATTCCAAACTTTGACCCTTTGTGGGGAAGGTACCAGAAGGAATGGTCCGATCTCTACCATATTTATAAAATATCTAGTGTTGATGGAAATATTGAGATGTGCCAAGTCCGAATGGAAACGGGCTTTATGAATATTCAAAATTTTTGCCCTTTATGGGGGAGGTACCAGAAGGAGTGGACCGATATATCCCACCTTCACACCAGGCCTTGGGTTTATAAAAATATTGTAATGTGTGTAATTTGAAGAGAACCGGATGCTTATTTCGGATTTTATAAACGGTTTGGTTATTTCAAACTTTTACCCTTTTTGGGGGAGGTACCAGAAGGAATGGTCCGATATCTTCCATATTTATAACAGATCTTGTGTTGATGGAAATATTGAGATGTACTAAGTCCGAATAGAATCGTATGTTAATTTCGTGTTTTATGAGCTTAATTAATATTCAAAATGTTGACCTACTGTGGGCGAGGTTACAGAAGGAGTGGACCGATATATCCAATCTTTATATCAGATCTTGAGTTAGTAGAAATAATAGGATGTGTGTAATTTAAAGACAATCGGACACCTACATCACATTTTATAAGTGTTATAATTATTCAAAGTTTTGACCCTTTGTGGGGGAGGTACTTGATGGAGGGCACCGATATTGTCCATTTTTGCACCAGACATAGCACTGATGCAAATATTAAGATTTGCAAAGTTGGAGTAAAATCAGATTACCCATTCTCTTTCTGTGCAGTAAAATATTTTTTTTTTGTGGGGGAGGTACCAGAAGGAGTGGACCAATATTGACCATCTCCGAACTCGGTCTAAGTTTGACAATAATATTACAATGTACCAAGTTTGGATCAAATCGGATACTCCCTTCGAGAGTTAATCGTGCGCACCAGTCAGTCAAACAGACAGACAAAGAGAGACAGACGGATGGGCATCTCTAGATCGACTCCAAATGTCCTGAAACGGGTTTAGCCCAAAGAGACCTAGGGTCTAAAACCGTTTTTCGATGAGGCAAGTTTTGCCCGTATCAAATGATATATACCATCCGTAGCTATATGGCTAAGGGTATAAAAAAGGAAAGACACAATTTTCTCTTTAAAAAAAAAATAAATTTTGAATGTAATTTTCATAAAAACCATTGTACCTAGATAGATGGTTTATTTTGAGATTTATAGTGAAATTTTGCGCAGATTATTTCTTCTTTTTACACCTTCTGTCTAAAATGAAATTTTAGGTTACTTTCGGGCATCAACTCGAAAAAGTCAGAGAAAAAATTGTTTAAAAAAAATCTGTGAATATTTTTACGTTTTTTGGTAACATTGAAGCAAATATTTTCTTGAGATCTAATGGCAATACAGATTTCCTTTCTTTAGTGACCTGTGGCGGAATTTGATTAGGAATATTTTTGTCTTTAACGTCATCCTTCTGAAATTATGCTTTGTAGGAAAATTTAGTAAAAACAAAACTCACGTAAAATACCGTTTTAACCCTAAAATGGGTTTACAATATATATGCATTTCTGGCGTATAGGTATGATTTAGACTTTTGATGTCTTCTGGGGCCTAAAGGAGAATTTTATGACAAATAAATTTGCAGAATATTTTGACTTCTTCCGTTGCCGTTTAAAGGGAATTTTTGACGTTATTTCGAAAAAAGGGCCCAAAAAGACCCCTTTGGTGACTCGCTTGAGGGTTAAAATGTATGACGAAAATAATCCTCATATTGTTCTCATTAATATTGCCGAAGGTACTATATACCTAAAATGTAGGGATTCCACGGAATCTTAATTCGAAATTTACAAAAAAAAAAAAAATATGAGAGAGGGAAACTCTTGTCCCCTCTATTTAGGTTACGATGCGTTTTAACTTTCAAAACGCCAATGTAGGTGTCTTTAATTTTTAGCTCTACTTTCTTAATCTGCAGGATCTTTCTTGTAATGTTTTCCTTTTATTTTTTGTTCAAATTCGGTTCTTAAAAAGTATTTAATCTACAATGCTGATAGTCCTCAAATCAGCCATGTACCAAATTTTTAATTAAAAAAAATAATAATAATAAATTCGAAAAAATTATTTTTTTAAAATTTAAGCTCTCAATACCTCTAAAAATAATTAAAAAATAACTTTTTCGATTTCCATTTTTTCAAAATCTCCAGAAATTCCTTGATAACAAATGGTGTTTACTAAGTGAGTGTTAAAGGTGACAAGGTAGGGAAGAACTAAGGGGATGAAGGGGGGAGAGTGAGGGAAGAAATCTACAAAATAAACGCCAGGTGTTTGTTGCAAAACCAACAATCCAAACACAAACGACAACAACATCAACGTCAACTATTATTGGGGTTTCGTTTTGCTTTAAAATTAAAAAAAAACATAAATTGTCTGCAAAATCTGGTAGAAATAAAAAACAAGGGTTATGGAGGATTCCTGATCTGAGCGGGGGCGTAGGAAGAAAGGAAATCAAATGTTAACAACCTAGTTTATACAATTTCGTTTTGTTTTCTGTTTAATTTTTTTACAAAATATTAAATCACATCAAATTATTATTCTTTTACTGATTTTCAATATTAAATTTTCAATATTTGCCACAACTCACCTGAGAATCTTCCGAATCTTGCCGTGTATCTAATAGTGTATTCAAAGAACTATTTACATCTTCATCAATATCAATGGGTATAACAGCAGCCATACCTTCACGTTGTATTTGCTGTAGATGATCTTCAGATTTGCTGGTGCGAAAACCGGCCGAATCACATTTGCGCACAATCTGGCCATTGTGATGGTGGTGGTGATGATGATGACGCCGCACCACACCGCTGGTGTCCACGGCACCCGGGGCGGTGGTGCCACCCGCCATATTCGATGGTTCCGGACTGGTGGGCACCGAATTGGCGGTTTCCTTGTCGATCAGGGGCGTCGACAGGGATATGGGTGATGTGGGCACTGAGAATGAGGTTTCATCTTGGGAGGTATTATTGCCGCCGCCGCCACCACCACCTACACCACCTGCATTTGCCCCGCCGCCACCCATTGTGGCAGATGATGATGAAGATGCTGAACTACGCAAATTCCGTGAAGAATCCACATTGTCCTCGGAACGCAGCTTGTAGCGCAAGGCAGCCTTTTGTTTTAAAGCTTTGAGTTTTTGTTTTGTTGTTGTGGCCGCCGCTGAACTGCCCAACGAATTGGGATCCTCGGGCAAATTTTCATCATCATCATCATCGTCGTCGTCGTCTTCCTGCATTAGACATTGTCTATCACTAGCCTCATCATCGGCATGGACACTGTTGCCACCACCACCGCCGCCCATGCCACCCAAGCCACTGTTGTAGGTTTCCAAATTGGTAATATCATAGTTGGTTTGATCTTCCTCATCGTCGTCGTCATCCTCCTCCTCCTCATCATCCTCCTCATCGTCTTCCTCTTCCCCGGCATAATTGCCATCATCATAGTCCTCATCCTCATCGGGATTGTCATCCTCATCCACATTATCGTCATCTTCATTCTGATAGTATTCATAGGTTTTTTGGCGTTGCCGATTTGTCTGCTGCTGCTGCTGCTGATGGCGTTTGTGTTTATTCTGCTGCTGGACATAACGCTGATGACGATGATGTTGCTGCCTACCGCCACCTGCCGTTTCTGGTTGTGTACCATCCTCATCGTCCTTCTCCAATTCTTCGCACAGCAAAAGCGTATCATTGGTAAGGGAATCCTGACGATTGTTGTAGGTTGTGTCCATACTATCCGGCTGATAGTTTTGGAGATTTTGCGCCAGCGCATGTTTCTTGTGGAAACGGGATTTTTCTCTGTTCTGTAAATTCTTGGAATCCGTGTTGGTGGAGTGGGTGTGGGTGTGGCTGGCATGGGTGGGGGATTCTTGGGATGAGGAGGAGGTGGGTGAGGATTCACCCGATGCCTTGGGAGCCAAGGCCCCATTGGCCCTTGCCAAGCCAACACGATTGGGTGAATCACGTAGTGAGTCGACTTTTTTCGCCTGTACCGTCAAGACATTGCTGCTCTGGGGTGTACGCGAGAGATTCAATATCAAATCACCGGTCATCATGTAGGCCTCGAAACGAGGCGCCTTGGCTGGCTGGGGTGGTGCCGAATTGGGTTCGGGTGTATCACGATCCTCTGAAGAGTTATTGGATCGATTTAGTCTTGTCGATGTGTTGCCGCCGCCGCTGCCGGCATAGCTGTTCGAATGTTGCAAGGAATGTGGATGATTGGGACCTGTTGTGGTGGCTGTTGCCGTCGTTTGGGTATTGCCATTAAAGTTCGTTGAGTTGACGGCCTCACCGCCTGCCGTCGATGTTATGGAAGAAGTCATCGATGTGCCCATTACACCAGCAGCCTTGGGTATCTGGGATGGCCGTGGCCGTTTATTTTGGGGAGATTGCTGGGCCTTTTGGCTGCTTTTCTTGGCCTGGGGTATGCGTGAGGGTATGCGTGATGTGGGCGAAGTGGCTGTTGTTGGACCACCACCACCCTCCAATTGTATTTTATTCGATGAAGCCGATGAACTGCGGCTGTGATTGGCAGAATTGGTGGCCGCAGCTGCCGCATGATGACGTGGCAAATTTGTGGTGGCTGCTGTTGAGGATTTGTAACGGGACGATGATGAGGCAGGTGAATGATTGGGGCTAGATGTTGTTGCCGCCACCGCCGCCGCCGCTGTTTGTTGTTGGTGATGATGGTGTTGTACAATTGTTGTTGTTGTTGTTGTATTGTGCGTTGTCGTCACATCGTATTGAAATTTACTGTTATTGCTATTATTACTACTACTACTGTTGTTGGCAGCTTCGTGATGATGTTGTTGTTGCTGATAGTGGTGGTGCTGAGGTGATGACTTTATTTGACGCTGGCTATGATAATCGTAATTATTTGTGGGTGATGTCTCAATATCAATATAATGGGGACTTTTCGTATTGGCCAGCTGTTCCTTTATTCGAGCCTTCAATTTTGGATCTGTGAAGAGGGAGAAAGAGAGAGAGAGAGAGAGAGGGGGGAATTAAATATACTTTTTTGGGGAGTTATCATGATTACGCACCTCTTTTCAGTTCCAATGTTACCAAATCTTCCGAGAGCCGTAGACACTTTAATACCTCCTTCGTTGTATACTGATGCACATCGATGCCGTTTACTTTGAGGATAACATCACCGGCCTCAACCTGGAAGGTAAAAAAGAAGAGAGATATGATGAATATTATGAAAAAAGAAAAGAGAGAAGAGGAATTTAATAAAAAGGGAGAAGAAGAATTTAATAAAAAAAGAGAGAATTGAGGCTCTCTGAGAGCAGAGTTTCTTTAACAATACCTAAGGGGAAAAGTGTCAAAAAATGATTTTTGAGGTTAAATCAAACTCAAGGGAGCCTATTTCAAGGTATATTTATTTAAGGCAGGATTTTCGTTTCAATTTACAAGAAAACGTTTTTAGACAATTTTAATTTAGATATAGCCCTAATTAATCAATTTTTTAATTTTTTTCAGCCCTAATAGTGCCATAACCTAAATTTCTTTGGCAGAAGAATACATTATTCTCCCTAGGAATCTGAAAATGACGCTCAATTTGGTCATTCCTTTTTGGGTTTAAGGGGAGATTCGCAAAATACTATCCAATCTAATATAAAGTCGAATAAAATATACCATCAATGGCTAGCATAGCTTTTATCTCGGATTTTTTTTTTTTTGGGCCACCAAGGAGCTTTTATTGCGGATTATTTTTAAAAGAACACCGAAGCCTGAGCTAATGTCGTTATTTTGTAAGAACCGCCAGAGGTATAGTTGTTGCCTTTTAAAGGGTAGCAAGGGGTATAATCGAGAATTTTGGGAACAACCAGCTGAGGTATAATCGAGTATATTAAGAGAACAACCAGAAAATGGGGGATTTTTAATGGACCGCAGGGGTTTTTAAAAAACCGGCTATAATTGACAGAGGTTGAAGGACGATCACAGCTTTGATCCTGGATCAAAGCAACAACACAGGAACAGTTAGAAATGTTGAAAAAATCCCAACCAGAGTATTGTGAATTTTTTACAGGTCCACCAGGGCTATAATCGTGGGGGTTTCATTAAAGCTAAAATCTGAAAAAAAATATAAAATTTTTGCAGAACTACCGAAGGAAAAATGGAGGACTTTTAAGAAAATTAGAGCTGACGTTTTTAAAGCACCACCAGAGATTTAATCACTGATATTTAATGATGCGCTGGAGCTATGTTTTTATACCCCTAAGGCATAGGGCATACAGGATGAGATAAAAAAACTGTAACGATGTCAAATGCCATAATTTTTACATTTTTATTTAAATTTTACTGAATGAAATGAAAAAAAGGTCGGAAATAGCATCAAATGTTAGAATAAGTGTAGATATGTTCGAATTGGTCACCTTTGGCACGAATTATTGCCTTAAAAACGGCCAATGAAACCGCCACACACTGCCCGAATGTTGCTCTGTGGTATTTTGGCCAATTCCCGGCGAAGCGCTTGCTTGAGGTAATCGACATTTGAACTTTTTTTAGTGCCAACCTTGCTTTCAAAAATACTCCAGACACAATAGTCCAATGGATTGGTATCCGGAGATTTTGGTGACCATTGTGCGCTGGAAATGAAGCGAGGAACCTCATTTTGTAACCATTCTTGGGTGGCGCGTGCTGAGTGCGTCCTGTTGGTTGGTCAGAGGTCTGCGGCCAAAATTTTTGCGTGCCCTAGGCTTTAATACACCCTCCAGAATATTTTCGCGATAATATTCGCCATTTATTCTGATGCCACGGTCGATTAATAAGAGCGGAGAGTAACCATCGGTTATTATGGCGGCCCACACCATCACCATGGCCGGCGCTTGAGTTCTGGTGGCCCACCGAAGTGGCAAGTAAACACGATCATTTTGTTTGTTTACAAACTGCTCTGGACAACGAATGCTTTCTCATCGGAGATCGGAGAAACCCAAATTCGGCAGTTCACGCTAGATCGACTCCAAATGTCCTGAAACGGGTTTGGTCCAAAGAGACCTCGGGTCTGAAATCGTTATTTCGATGATGCACGTTTTGGCCTTATCATATGATATATACTCTCTCTAGCCATATGGCTGAGGGTATCAACAAAAATTCCAAAGGTTTACCGATCCTAGACCATAGCACCCATTAGCCACCAATAGGACGTATACACAATCTCCTCTAGTTAATATCAATTATACGTCAATGAAATTTTAGTTTGTCAATATTTATTCTTTCCTTCTTCAAGAAATCCCCTCTTCCCCAGTACTTTGGGTGAATAGCGGATTTCATTCATTTCCCATGGTAGTTTGTAAACCATCTCCCCCTCCACCAAACAAATGAACAACTTATATCCTTAGGTGGAAAATGGTATTAAGTGAAATTTGTTTGCAAAACATAAATATCTAAAGGGGCGGTTGGAGGATAATGCCAGGCGCCTATATCTATATCTGGCTATCTCTCTGCCCCCTCTTGGCTACAATGATTTTTCTTGCATTTCCTTGTGTTGTTGGTGTTACCACTACATAATTCTTTAAGCCACCAATCACACACACACAGACATTCATGCACACATGTCTTGTGGTATGTGGGGCCTTTGAGGGACCTACTGAATATATCACTCTTTTTTGTCCCTTGGGTAATTGCATATAGAAGAGATTTGTTTCTCTTTACACACACACACACACACACACACACACATAACCACATGCCCTCACACATATCTGTACACCCACCAAAATAACACCCAATTGCGAATGGTTGGCTTTAGAGCTCCACCATTTGCTCTCTCCTTCTCTCTCTCTTCCTTCGAACCACAAAAATGTTTTATTGATTGATTTTTGTGTCTTGCAACAACAACAAAAATAATGGGGAAAAAATCAAAGTGAACAATATTATTTGTGTGCTCTGGTGGCCTACATCTGTGTAAGAGAGTGAGGTGAGGGGTGGTGGGGGTGTGACTGACTGGCATGCATGCCTATCAAATACCATCATGACAGCAATCGGTTTTGTATGGAAGCAGGCCTGTTGTTGTTTTGATGTTTCCACTTAGATGGATAAAAATCAAGTGTACTTTTTGTTGCTACTGTTGTTGTTGTTGTTGTGGTTGTTGTCTTCGAGAATGACATGAATAGCAAAGCAAATAAAAAAAAAACGAAACCAAAAAAGAATTACACACCACAGCCTTTTTTTGACATGTAGATGGATGGATAGATGGATATATCCTTTCGTGGTTCATGGCTAGGCATGGAGAATTTTTTCTTATTGGTATTTTAGCTTTGATTGTCCCAAATGCCATCAGGATTGGACAATTTGGCCAATATGTGGGACCACTGTGACGTATACGTATTGGCTTATTGTATCAATAATAATCATACGCCCCCTTGAAAAGACTTCCAGAGATTTGGTAGTACTGACATTATATAGGACAAGTAAAATAGTATCTGTCGGTTTTGCCGACAGATGTATACCCTCTGTCTTGAATTATGATTATTCAAACTGTTGACCCGTTTAGGGGGAGGGGGGTTTCGAAGCACTTGGACAATATTGACCAATTCGTATTTGACCTAAGACTGCTGTAAATATTACAACGTTCCGGATTTGGACTATATCGACTAGTTCCTGTACTTTACATGAGATATGTGTAAATTTTTGGAAAATGTGGAAATATACGTTAGGTATAGCGATATATCGGACCGAAGGATTCCATTTTCATACTTCATCGAATACAGATAAAAATATTGGTAAAGGCAAAATTTGAAGGAAATTTTATGCGAAATCGTAATTTTTATTTTGGGTGAAATAAAAAAAATCTGCATCAAAATAAATGCCGAATATTGTTGGGAAAATATTCTGGAGGGTGTAATAAGTCTTGGGCATGCAAACATTTTGGCTGCAGACCTTGGACATTCCAACAGGACTCCAACAGCACCATTGCACTCAGCACACGCCACCCAAGAATGGTTACAAAATGAGATTCCTTCATTTCCAGCGCACTGTGGACACCAAATCTCCGGACTTTGTGTCTGGAGTGTTGTTTGGAGAGCAAGGTTGGCACTAAAAAATACCAAAGTGTCGATAACCTCAAGCAGGCGCTTCGCCGGGAATGGGCCAAAATACCGCAGAGCAACATTCGGGCAGCGTGTGACAGTTTCATTGGCCGTTTGAGGGCCATAATTGGTGTCAAAGTTGACCAATTTGCGTCAATTCGAACAAACCTAAACTTATTCTAAAATGTTTTTTCAAGGCCATAATTCATGCCAAAGGTGACCAATTCGAACAAATCGAAAATTATTCTGAATTTTTTTTATCTCTCCTCTCTTTAGTAGAGCTCCACATAACAATTAAGTTACGTTTTTATGGTTGTATTCTCCAACCATACACGCTAGGATTATAATTATAATTTAAAGTTCAAAGGACTAAATATGCCGAAGCATTTGTATCTTTTAAATTCGGACTTGTATTGCCCATATGGTGCAAAATTAATTTGAAATCAGATAAAGCTATATCCTAATCTGAACCGATCTCGATAAAATTTGGCAAGATATTTCTAAACTGTATTTGATATATTTCCCCAAAATATCGTTGTTACGGAATGCATATTACGGCTGTGGAGGAGAAAAATAACAAATCGGATGAGCAATATGTGTGGGAGCTATAGCTATATCTGAACCGATTTTCACCAAATTTGACATATTGGTTTCTAGACTCAATATGGTCGTAAGTGCCAAATTCCATCCCATTTGGGATAATATTACACATTTGGTGCACAATAAAGGGCAAATCGGACGAAGATGTATATGGGAGCTATATCCAAATCTGAACCGATCTCGATAAAATTTGGCAAAGGTATTTCTGAGCTATATTTGATACATTTCCCCAAATATCGTTGCTACGGAGTCCATATTACGGCTGTGGAGGACAAAAATAACAAATCGGATGAACAATATATATGGGAGCTACAGCTATATCTGAACCGATTTTCACCAAATTTGACATACTTTTTTCTAGGTTCAATTTGGTTATATGTGCCAAATTTCGTCCAATTTGAGTCAATATTACACGTTTGGTGCACAAAAAAACGTAAATCGGTCGAAGTTTTATATGGGAGCTATATCTAAATTTTGACCGATTTCTACCAAATTTGACATACTAGTTTCTTGACTGCATTTGGTTATATG